AAAAAAAAAAAAACCACAGCCGTAGAAAGCCTCGATCACCGGCTGAGGCAGACACAGCCCTCAGCTTACCTGGACGTGTCCTGGGTGGGCTGGGGAGGCAGCCTGGACAGCCCAGCTCAGCTCCCATCCTTGTCTTTGGGGAAGCAGGGCCCGAGGACGCCAGCTGATGCTAAAGGAGACAGAGGGAGTCTGCGCCTCTTTGCTGAGCCAGGCCTGGGCCCCACCTGGAGGCTCCACCCGGGGGACTCGGCATCTGAAACCCCAGCTCTGAGTCTGCAGCGGCCCCCCACCTCGTCCTCAGCCCCCCTCCTGCTCTCCCTGCCCTTGGCCCACACCTAACTTGCCATGACCCTCACTCAGGAAAGGCCTTGAGATGGCGGGGGCGGTCTGTAAGCAGCGCCGAGCAAACACTGCTCCTCGCAATGGGGCCAGGCACAGAGCAGGGGCGTGGGAAGGGGGAGCTGAGGAAGGGCATGGTGCCAGGCACGCACCAAGCACATTTGCTGTTTTCAGAGGAAGTTCCTGCACGCTGCTCAGGCCTATTTATCCTACGAGATTTGTGACCCACTTTCCTGGCAAAGAGCAGACCACGGAGGTAGGGACACAGCAAGGGGAAACACAGCCTGATGGCAAATGGCTCTGCAGAGAGCAGTATCCCAAGGCTCCCTACCTGGTGTGCAGTTATGTTGGAGGTGGAAATGCTGGCCATGGGCCCTGTACACTCCCACCCTAGAGGCACCAGGGAGAGGCCCCTGCTTCCCTCTCCCCTGCCACCACCAACTCCACTCTGGCAACAGCCTATCCACCAGGATCCCAACCCCCACCCTTGTGCCATACACTCTGCTCTCCATACAGTATCCAGTGGGATCCTTTTAAAACAATTGTCAGATCAAACCTGTTTCACTCAGATTTGAGCCAAGTTCTTACACAGGCCCCTGGGGCCTGCCCTCTGCATCCTCCACTCACCTCCCCCTCATGTGGCTGCAGCCACATGGCCCGTGCACTACCAGCTGCTCCTTCCACCCGGAGTCCCCGCCCCTCAGATGACGAGGCTCCCTCGCCACCTCAAGTCTTTGTTCAGACACCACGTCCTCCAGGAGCCCCCCCAAGACCCAACCTAAACTGGCGCCCAGTCCTCCCACCACCCGCCCTGCTGTTTTCTGCATCACTTACCGTCCTCTGACAAGCTGCACTAGTTACCTTTCTTAAGTGTTTTGTAGCATCTCCCCCTCCCACTAGACCGTGGACTCTGTGAAGTCAGGGCTTTGAGACAGGAGAACAAAACGTCCACACTGGAACACAGGGTCACAAAAGCAAATGAGTGGAGCTCAGAGGCTATGTGGGGCCGGGCTGCGCCATCACCGGCACAGAGGCCTTGGTGTGGACCCCAGGCCACGACTGGACCACACATGGTCACACCAGAGCAGCGGGTGCCCTCACTCAACAAGACCAACAGCCAGGGGAGGGGTGTGCAGCTGGACACCCACTTAGGAGAACATGTTTTTACAGTTGTTTTACTTTCAAAAAAAGACAAGACACAGCTGTCTTTTTCAAACAGAGAACGACATGATTACAGCCCAGCACTCCATGAAGAGCGCCTCCTGGGATGGGCAGGCTTCACTTGGAGACACCTGTTTGACCTGCTGTCCCAAGGTGACCGAAGGGGAACGGCGAGCACGTGTCAGTCCTGCAGTCTGCGCTCGCACCTCTTCTCCAGGTCAGCCATCTGCCTCAGGACCAGGGCCACGCTGTAGCGCAGCTCCTGGAACTTGGCTGTGGGGACCTCGAAGCGGTGCGCCGACCCATCCGAAAGCTTCAGCTGCATCAGGATGCTCGGCTGCAGGGAGCGGGCCAGGGTGCTGGTGGAGATCGCCACGTCCACCCTCCACCGCAAGTCAGCAACATGGGGCAGCCAGGCCCCCTGCTGCCTGGCCACGGAGTCGAGGATGGGGCGCTGGCTCCCAAACACCAAGCTGGCCAAGTCCGCAACTAGGTCTTGGGGGATGCAGAGCTCCTGGAGCTGCTCCTTGAAGGCGTCGGGCTTCAGGCTGGCAGGGGGCAGCCGGAGGGCCTGCTGGAGCAGGGTGTGCATGCCGGCGAGCAGGGCACCCAGCCGCTCCTCCGACAGGTCTGCGCCAGCCCCAAGGCGCTGCACAGCCTCCCGGCAGTCCTCTCCCTGTAGGCCGCTGACCACCAGCTTCAACAACTTTCTGAATGTGCCCCTGTCCAGGTCCCCCAGGAGCCGGGGCATTGCTGCCACCTCTGGGGGGAGCTGGGCCCCCAGGAAACTCACCCGGCCACTGTGACTGTCACCAGGGTGATGTAGGTATGCAGCCCCCATGGCAGACATTGCTGCTTCGTCCTGTTTGATCAGCCAGCCCAGAGGTGAGGTTCCAGCTGCACCTGCCTGGGGGGGCGGGGGGAGAAGCCCAGTGACTCCCATGTCCTTTGGGCCAGCAAATGAGGACTGAGGTGGTCTCTGCCTTCAAAACGCTGATAGCGTGAACCACTGATGACAGCCAATGTGATGGGAGGCCCCTGAGAGCAGGTGGGAGAAGGGCCCACTGTAGTCCCAGGAAGTGAGGAGGCAGGAATTGGCAGGGAAGGGGGCCTGGGTGGGGAGAAGAGAAGGAAGAGAACCAGGAAACAGCAGAGCACACACAAGTCCTCCAAATGAACAAGGAACGACAGCCTGGATGAGGAAAAAGGTCCAGAGAACAAAGACACTGCAGCCACCAGGGCTGCTGCCCACCACAACGGGATCACAACTACGCAACTTCGACCCTCACGAGAGCCCTGCAAGACCCCGTTACTACTCTCACCTCAACAATAAGGAAACGGAGGCTCAGACGCAACTGCCCGAGTCAAGGACTAGAACCCAGGCCTGTCTACAGAGGTCCCCGCTGTGCCCACCACAGCACGCGGGACCCAGACGCAGCCCCCGGCAGGACGGGCTGAGGCTCACGTGGCAACAGAGATACTTGGTATCCGGAGAAAAGGGCTGACGCCCCCTGAAGGGCAGTTACGGCGCGTCTCAGGTCACCGACACACCTGCTCAGGCAGCAGAGCGCGCCTGGCGCTGGAGCAGGCCCGGCGAGGCACAGCCCATCCCCGCGGCGCCCAGGCGCGGTCCTCACAGCCCCGCGTGCTGCGCAGCGCGCCCTCCACCGGTTTCATCGACCCCCCTCGTCCGGAGGGCCGGGGCGTCCCCCCGGCACGTGGGTGTCAACGACCACCTACTGCCCGGCTACCAGCGGGAACGGCCTGCCACGTCCCAGCCGCCCCGCTGCGCAGGCCCTGCACCCTGGAGGCCAGCGTGCTGCCTCCGCTGACCCTCTCCGGCCACCCGCCCGGAGGAAGGAGCCGACAGAGGAGGGCCTGGTTCGAGTCCTGCCTGTGCACGCCGCGGCGGCCCTGCCCACCTAACGGGCCCAGGCCGCGGTCAGCGCCGTCCGGCCCCGCCCCAAGCTGCACCGGATCGGCCTCCGGCCTCCAGAGCTCCCCGGACACGGTGGCCAACGACCCACCGCCCCCGCCCGGGGGAAGGGCGACCCTATTCACCGCGGCCCCGGGCCCAGCCGCCCCCACACCTGGCGCGCGCGGTCCTGAGCGGAGCAGCCGGACCAGAGGCGGGGCCTGGTCCCCGGAAGCGTCCCAGAGACACTTCCGGGAAGCTCTAGGACGCCGGAGGACCCAGCCCTCCGTGATCCGCGGGCCCGAGGGGCGGGGCCGAGGCGGGGGACTGCCCTTCAGTCTTCGTTCCGCGGTGCCTTCAGAGGCTTTCATGGCCCCGGCGGCCTGGTCTCGGTTGGGGCCTGGTGGCGGGCCCCTCATTCACACCAGCGGCCGCCGGAGGCCTGTGGGCCGGAGGGAGGGACCGGGAGCAGGAGCGGGAGCGCGGAGACCCAGTCTTGGACCCGGCGCCCTGGGGCAAGGGGGACCCGGAGGGAGGAGGCCTTGGTGGTGGGGAAGGGGGAAGGGGGTCCCCGAGGGAGGGCGGCCCCGCGTGGGGCAGGGCGTGGCGGCACGGGGGAAGGGGTCACCGGGGGAGGGCGCTGCGGGGACGCTGCACAACAACGTGAACGTGCTTAGCCGCTCAGCTGTACACACTAAATACGTGGATTGTATGGGATGTAGGTTATCTCGCAATAAAGCTGTTGTTTTTAAAAGTCAGTGAAAAGAAGGCAAATAACCCAATTAACAAAATGAGCAAAAGATTTGAATAGACATTTCACCAAGGAGGATATAAAATGACTAATGAACAAATGAAGAGATGTTCGGCATTGCTGGTCAGTAGGGAAATGCAAATTGAAGCCACAGGGAGGTGCCATTTCACACTATTAGAATGGTAGTCATCAAAAAGACAAACAGTACAATGTCCTGAATGTTTGTGTCCCCCCAGAATGCATGTGTTGAAACGCAAGCCCCAATGTGATGGTATTAGGAGGTGGGGCCTTTGGGAGGTAATTGGCTCATGAGCATGGAATCCCATGAATAGGATTAGTGTCCTTTACCAAGAGGCCATAGAGCTTACTAGCTCTCTTTCCGCTCTATGAGGATACAATGAGAAGTTGGCAGTCTGAAGCTTGAAAGGGCCTTCACGAGAACGGACCATGCTGGCGCCCTGATCTCAGACTTCCAGCTTTCAGAACTGTGGGGAAAAAATTTCTGTTGTTCATAAGCCACCCTGTATGGTACTTTGTTATAGCGGCCCAAACTAAGACAAATAACAAGTGTTGGAGAGGACGTGGACAAAATGAAACCCTTGTACATTGTTGGTGGGAACAGAGAGTGGTATGGCTACACTGGAAAAGAGTTTTGCAGTATCTTAAGTTAGAAATATTTATATGACCCAACAATTCCATCCCCGGTTGTATGCACAAGAACAACGAAAACATGTTCACACAAAATCTTGCACAAAAATATTCTTAGCAACATTATTCATAATAGCCCAAAATGGAAAGAACCCAAATGTATGTATGTCAGCTGGTGAATACATAAACATATTGTGCTACATCCGTACAATGGAATAGTATTCAGCAATAAAAAGGAGTGCATTAGTGATGTGGGAGATCAAGATTTGGCCACCCTGAAATATATCTCTTTACCTTGATTATTTTCTCTGAGGGACATTTGACCTCCCCCACTAACTGCCTAAAGAATTTGACATGGTGGCTCCTTCCTGGAACAGATCTTCTATCACGATGGCTGTAAAGATAATGTAGGATAGAGGTTACAATAGGAAAGGCACCAAGCCCCTTTTATCAAAAACTCCGTCTCTCCCTGACCACATTATCTATAGATGACCCTGAAAAGACTTGTGTTCTTGCCCTCTGAAGTCCCAGATCACTACACACCCCCAACACGTTCCTCGCCTTTAGCTGCAATACTTAAGCAAGCAGCTTAGACAGAGGGACGAGTTGCTCATTTCTGAGTTTCTCCCATGTATACATGTTATTAAACTTGGTATTATTTTCTCCTGCTAACCTGTCTTGTTAATTATTTGGCCAGCCATAAGAACCTTAAGGAAAAGGGCAGAGGGAGATTCTCCCGCTCTCCTGACAGTGACATGCTACAATATGGATGAACTTGCAAAACACTGTGCTGAGTGAAAGAAGCCAGACACAGAAGACCACATATTGTAGGATTCCATTTATGTGAAATGTCCATCTAAGGTGGGAAAGAAGGCAAAGCAACAAGCAAGCATCGGTACAGAAAAGACTTGGTGGACGTATGGACGAAAGAGACTGGCCCTTCTCAAGGCATCTATTCCAGTGTTCCCTATGAGAAGGTGGTGGTCCAGACGACCTCCACATCAGGGACACATGTGCCTGGGCTGTGGGACCCTGCCCCAGGCTGGGTCAGTCAGAATCTCTCTTCCTGCAGAAGGCCAGTGAGCCTAGGGAGAGGACAGCTCAGCCTTGGGAAGGGTCACTTATGTCAACGGCTGCCCTGGCCCCCTCAGGTGATAAGTCCCTGGTGCACTCACAGCTCTGGGCTCAGTCAATCCTCCCCCTCCTTCCCAGAACCCTTCAGGGATTGTTCCCACTGCAGGTCAGTTTTGGTCCTTCTGGAATTTTATATAAATGAGGACATAGAGTATACGTTCCTTCAGGTAAGGCTTGTTTCACGCAGCATAATGTGTTTGTGATTCATCCATGCGGTTGCCTGCTGTCAGGAATCTGTTCTGTTTTATAGTTTTATAGTTCAATAGGTTGAATATACCGCAGTTTGTTTCTTCGCTCTCATGTGGATGGACACTTGAGATAGTGCCAGGATTTGCCTATCATGCACAGAGCTGCTGTGAACTTTCAAGTCTTTTGTGTACATGTTTTCACTTCTCTTGGGTAAGTGTTTAGGAATGAAATTGCTGGGTCAGAATGGGTATATGTTTAGCTTTATGAGACAGTGCATGATTGTTTTTCAGAGTGGCTGTAACATTTTGTCTTCTCATCAAAAGTTTCAAAGAGGGCCGGCCCCGTGGCTTAGCGGTTAAGTGCCCGCGCTCCGCTGCTGGCGGCCCGGGTTCGGATCCCGGGCGCACACAGACGCACTGCTTCTCCGGCCATGCTGAGGCCGCGTCCCACATACAGCAACTAGAAGGATGTGCAGCTGTGACATACAACTATCTACTGGAGCTTTGGGGGAAAAATAAATTAATTAATTAAATTTAAAAAAAATTAAAAAAAAAAAGTTTCAAAGAGCTCCCAATGCCCCACATCTCTGCCAACACGTGGAGCCGTCCGGCTTTTCAAACATACACTTTCTGGTGGGCGTATCTCGATTAGCCAGCATAACCGGGAAGATGGTAGACTAAGGTCTCAAAAAACCATCTTCCCGCTTGTGCTGGCTAGTCAAATTAAAACTTTGTTTCTTGATCCCTAGCTCGTTGTGATTAATTGGCCCTGATCACAGGAAGCAGAGCAAGCCCATTGCTCAGTAACTCTGGCGACCCAGATGGGATGAGCCTCTGCCCGTGGCTGGTCAACTTGCAGGAAGCTGTTTTGGGATTTTTCCCCACAGCTGCTGGACGGGTTTTTCTTTTTCTTTTTTTCCAGCCGGGGAGTTCCCCTGGTGGCTTCCTCGCTTGCCGACGGCCTCTAATGCTTCAGTGATCCAGAAACGAAGGACTGGATCATGAGCTGACGAGTTTGCATCTGCAGCTAAGTGAGTCATCCGGAGTGGGCCTCCCAGGTACTAAATTCCTTTTTCCTTGTCTGGGGGCCTTGGGCAGGCCAAGGTCCATCTGGATTAGGCACCGTTGTTTAGGGATAAAGGAAAGTACAGACTGCCCAGTATATTATCTGGAAGACTGGTCTCTGGTTTTTCTGTGGTGCGCACACCTGTATGTTGTGTTCTCCTGAGTGTGTGTGTTGTTCCACTAACCTGTGTGCCAGTTTTTCTCCATATCAGAATCCCACAGCATACTTCCAGTGCTTGTGACATCATCTGTGGAGACGTGAAGTTTGCAACCTTTTCTGTCAAGTGTCAAGCTGGAATTGTACGCCTCAGTGCAGGCACTGCTGTTTGTGTGTTTTTAATGCTCAGGAGGAAGCCGTGAGAGCACAGCCTGACCGTCCCTTCCCACCTTTGTCTGTCTTGTCGGGCACCTTCTTTGCTGTCATTGTGTGGAAGTTAAGTTTGGGCTTAAAGTAAGCTGGACTTGGACTTCCTGCAAAATAGAAACTTTCTGCCAGGCACCTGACCTCCTACACTGGCGTTGTGAAATTAGATCTCACCTCTTCCCTCTTTGGCTTGTTTAGCACTGGTGTGAGAACTGTATGCTCTGGCAGAGTGGGATTTGGATAAGTCCCATAGTTATCTGGATGCCCAGAGTCAAGCCCTGCACCCTTCTCCAGGTGAATTAATTTTCAGACACAACTTTATCACCATGGGCACCACTCCATCCATTCCAAAAAAAACTGCCCACTAGGGTGCATGCTGGCCAATTGGGCTGATTTCAGTTATGAGCCCATGACAAAGAAAAGGATGATCTTTTACTGTAATGTAGCCTGGCCCCAGTATACACGGGGCTCAGGAGAAAAGTGGCCCCCAAACAGGTCACTCAATTATGATATGATCTTGCATCTAGAATTGTTCGATAAGAAGGAAGGAAAGGAAAATAAAATTCCCTATGTTTAAGCTTTTATGCTGCTGTATCTGTATTTATGTAGATCAAGGAAGGGGGGACAATGGACCGAGGAGTCCCCTGGCTCCTCCCTCCTCCTCCTCCCCTTTTTCCCAGGCCCACGGCGTGTCCAGGGGAAAATGCCTGAAGGATTACCAGGTCTGAGAGAGGGACTCCTTCCTTCTCAAACCTGGCACGGGACACAATTCGGTCAGGGGGCCCTTTCCAGAGCAGGGCAATTTCCACTGTACCAATATCCCATAGGCATAAATGGACAAGGGCAACTGGCTGGCTTCATTTGGATGCACTCTCCTTTCTCTACCTTGGATCTTTTCAATTGGAAAAATTTTATATGCCTGAATTCCCTTTATATGTCTGAACGTTCCCTCCTGGGATGAAACCTTCTATGTAAACTGAATGCTCAAGTGACCTGCTCCGGGCCAGCTAGAGGTGCTAGTGCCACCAAACAATTCTCACAGTTCCAGATGGCCCTGCCAGGTGTTCAGACACCACCACTGGACCTGCTGCCACCGGAGAGTCTCATCGAGATAAGACCTGACGTGTGGGCAGAAGGGAAGCCTGGGAAAGCAAAGAATGTCCAGCCAATGCATATACCCTTGAAAACCCGAAAGATAAAGCCTAGCCTGAAACAATGTCTACTAAAACAGAAGATTCAGAAGGGCATTCAGCCAGTGCTGCAGAAATTCCTGGTGGCAGAATTAATCAGACCT